AAGCTTGCTTAAGTCCATAAATGGATCTATTAAGTTTACATACCATGTTTTCCTGACCTGCAGCAATGAAGCCWTGYRVCTGCTGCATATARATATCTTCAGTAAGATCTCCATTTAGGAATGCAGTTTTGACATCCATCTGTCAAATCTCATAATCATGGTATGTTGCTACAACTAGCAGGATCCTAATGGATTTAAGCATGCCCACAGGTGAAAAGGTTTCCTCATAATCGATGCCCTTTTTCTGAGTGTACCCTTTCGCCACTAGACGAGCTTTAATGGTCTCAACCCTACCATCGGGGCCCTTCTTCCTCTTGTAAATCCATTTGCAACCGATTGCTTTTACCCCGGAGGACGGATCTACTAGAGTCCAGACTCCATTGGTCTCCATTGAGTCCATCTCTAGTCTCATGGCCTCCACCCACTTCTGGGAATCTATGTCCAACATAGCTTCCACGTAAGTCATGGGATTCTCCTCACTAATCAAGGTTTGCCCCGGGTAACTATCCTAGTCATAACCATAACGGACTGGTGGCCTGGATACCCGAGTGGATCTTCTAGGTTGGTCACTACCTGGAACTTGTGGGACATCTCCCACTGCTCCTGAGCTCTCTTCATCAAGAACAACTTCCTAACGATGGGTTTTCCAAGATGTAATCGGTTTCCAAGAATTGCACATTTCGACTACAGAACACTTTCTACTCACTTGGGTCATAGAATAGGTAACCTATAGAGCCTTTTGGGTAGCCTACAAATAGGCAACGACTGGTCTTGGATTCCAACTTGTCTGCACTCGTTCTTTTAACGTGTGCTGGACAACCCCAAATCTTTAAGTGTTTGACACTTGGTTTCTTTCCAGTCCAAAGTTCATATGGAGTATTTAGAACCGAGATTGAAGAGCTCATCCGTCGCAAGTATCTGAGAAACTTTGTACAAAGGAATAACAAAGGCCAAACAGATCAGCGAGGGGAGCAAAAGAAAGACGTCCCCGAGCCCAGCAATAGGCCGAGTGAACAGAGGCAACTGCCCAAAGAAAGACCAGTTCGTGGGATAATCAATACGATCACCAGCGGATCGGTTGTCGCGGGTTGTTCCACAGTAGCAGGAAAGACTTCAGCCCACGAACTAGAACGTGAAGAGCAGAACCCTCCAAAGCGGTCGTGGACTGAGGACTCTATATTCTTCACTGAAGATGATGCACG